AAGAAGTCACTAGATTCCAGAATAATATCTTATGTACAGTAAAACGTAAAGCGTTTAGACAATGCAAGCAGTTTCTCACTTCATCTCCATCCACTTGCATTGACCCATCTCGACTTCATCAGCGCTGAGCGGCGGTTGAAGAGCACCACACTGTCGAGTTGGAAGTTCTCGGGATCAGCACCACCTGAGGCAGGATTACACTCCAGGGTTGTTGTTGATATTCTCCCTGCAAACGAAGTGGACAACGTGTGTCTATATATATATATATCATCATCATCATCTACTGGTTGCTCTGTCGTTCACTGGCCAAAGTGCTGTATATCTCACTCTCTGTTCGTTTCACTTTGAGCTTCTTCCAAAGCACCTCGGATCTTCTTGATCGTAAACCGAAGGATCTTGAACCTCCGGCGCGACAGCTCGAGATTTCGGATGCATGATCCAACGGCATCGATGGTTGGTTCCTTCTTTAGGGCATCGATCCAGGGACTAACGGACTAACGACGTACAGTCGCCGGAAGAATTTTTAGAACGGGATTGAGGATACAACACTTGCTGGGATTGAACTGCAAGGGAATTTTCTATAATTCTGTCGACGACCATAGTGACCATAGTCCTGAAAGCTGCCGTATAATGGTCTTGGGATGTGCGTCAAACTGCCGACCCTCAGTCAAATTTGGCCCCGCCAAAAACCTCCTGGCAAATCATGGGATCTTGTTTTTCTCGTATGGAACATGCAGTGAATTTACTGACGACGGCACCGCCGAATGCGCCTGGGATTCCCCTGAGTGGCGATGCCATGCACCAGCTGAGTGAGGGGAAATCCTGCGGCCACTCCACCGGCCTTGGACGAAGAGCTGGATGGGTAGATATTAATTACTGAAATATCGTGAAATATATTTTGAAGTCTCAAAAAGAGTGGCTCCCAGTTGCCCTCTGCTGATGAAGAATAAGTTGCCCTCTGTTGATGAAGTAAATCTCTTTACTGCAATCTAACCGAGCACAATTTGGAACACACCAGGTATGGTTAACTTTCATTTATTGACATCAGCAAACTTCCTAGTCACAAAAAAGATTGCATATTGTTTACCTATTCACATGAGACAATATTCAAAAGCCTTGCTGCCAAAGACAATTGATATTAAGGCTTTTTTTAGGGAGTTGGGATTTGCACACAGAATGGTAAGCTGGCAGACTGCTACACAGGAGGTTGGCTTGTTTCTCCTCGATCACCTCTGAGTGAACTGCACGAACTTACATGAAAACAAACACGGGCGGAAGTTGTCATGGGAATTCCTGGATCCCCACAAACCCTGGTAAGAGTATCTATATAAAGTGTTGCCCAACAAGTTGATCGAAACGTTGAGCCCTGGCTTCCATGGGCCTCATGAGCCCAGCCGGGTGACCAACCATGTCCTCAAAGGAACATCGCACACATAGTACCTGAGTCGCAACCAACAACGCATCACTGCGTGGTCAATGGCTGTTTCTACCAATCGGTTGAAGTCGTCGAATGTTTGTCAAGTCACAGGCTGTGTAGGAGAACTGCACCACTGATGAGGTCAGACCAATAGAAGACTCTTAAGGCACGAGGGATGAACTTGCACCAGCCCGTTTCCTTGTCTCCGTCCTGAACAGCAAAAAGACAGTCAAAGTTCTTTCGCTGCTATTGTTGGGTATCCTGTACGAGTACCAACTGCAAAGGACATATCATTCCGTATCTGTCATTCCAACGGAATCCCATATATATATATATATACATTTTTGAAGATACCGCCACTATCTGCTACTGGCTTCTTAAAGGAAAGGGCCTTCATTGCGAGCGACAACTACGGGCCTTCGGGCCACAGTTTTCTATCCACACCCTCAAAATGGAGGAACGACAAACAAATGGGTAGGGACAAATAGGGCTGTAATTAGTCACCTTTGCTTTGCCATTGAGCTTTGGGAGGCTACCTACAAATGTATACATAAAATGTCTTCACCCAGTGCCAGCTGAGACCTCAGTGAGCATACATTTCAATTGACGCCACCGTGAAGTGTCCGCGCCAATTCTGCTGGTCGCGTGTCCCTCTCATCGCTGAAGGGGTCAGCCACCGGCTGCACTAAAGCCCATACGCGTGGAAGAGCAGCTCCCAGCACCCCAGCTGCCACCGCCGGGACTTCAACGAACGCTTGCCTGGCCAAACAGCTGGGAGGCGGAGAAATGCTGAACTCCACGGTGGCGAGTCCCCTTTTGGAAATGATGGAAATGGGGCACCACTAAGACCTTACCGGAGACCTACAGTATACGTTGTGAGCGTGGATGCCATCAAAGTGTGCTGTGTTGTGACTCTGCGGTTTGAGGATTCCGTCCCCCACATGTGAACAGCTCACCTCACTAGATGCCATCAATTTGTTCCAGGATCTAGCCTCAAGTGGTTGATGGCATTTCCCAAGTAGAGATCACAAATTGATGGCATATCAAAGGTGTTTGGCGAATACCATCAAAGCGTGATTCCCTCTATATATACATATATAAATATAGAGAGAGAGAGAAATCCCTTTTGGTTTTTGATTTGCGACATCCCAGCAGCACCACCGTCTGCCAAAGTGCATCATCGACTCCTTTGGAGCTGGAAGCTTGCCAGTGCGCTTGAGAGAGGTCCTGGGTGTGAAAAGAGCACGGCCAACGACCCGAGTCATGAGGGCGCTACCGCGACGGTTTTGGATTTTGACGAAGCCCATCAACACCCTCCCTGCTACAATCCTAAGACAACATGTTCAACATACGCACTCACCTGCCAAAAAACATGTCAAAAACAGAATCCAAAACGCAACATAACGCAAAAATACACTCCTGACCTCCCAAAACACTGTACATAAACAGTCCAACGTCCTCCATCTGAGGCGGAGCAGGATTTCTTCTCTTACACAAGGACATTGCGATGACTAAGTTACTACTGTACTACTGTATGACCATTGGCTGCATCATGCTTTGGTCTTCATTTGAGCGACAGGGACTGCACTATGGATTGGAAAGCCCCCGGGTGCACAACAAAGTATGCCTGAGAACCGTCCAGGGTTACAAAAAAAAACAATCACCTTGGATCTAGTGGGATGAAGAACCATCAAGGACCCGGCCGAACTACTAGCATTCACTCTGTCTGAAACAATCTCTTTGTTCGTGCCATCGCAGCCACACCCGACGGAAGGAGATAAACAGCAAACCATGCCCTCATGGATTTGGGAACTGCTTCCCCATATTGGATCAAGGTCCGTGCCTGGCCAAACACGCACACACAATGGCCGGAGATGTGGTTTGGTACTATTTGGTCGAGCCTCGTTTCACCGAAGAGGAAGTCTTCATGCCGCTGTCGGGAGCCCAACCTCAAGGCCTTGCAAATCATCCAATCCACCAAGGGCACGTCGGGACAATAGACTCGTCTGGTCTTGGGATGGGATTTGGAGCATCTCTGCGGCAGGAAAGCAGGATGCATGATCTTCGTTCGAAAGCTCACCTCAACACCTGGAAGTATCGAACCAGACCCCCCAAATGATGGTGGCTGATGTTTCTCCAACACCCAACAACAGGTTCTGGCCAACACCAGCCGCCAAATATATATTTTTATATATAGTGAATTTTAACTGTAGTTATATGTAACTGTCTATCTATATCTATATCTATACTTATATCACCTCGATCTCTATCTCGATCTATCTATCTATCTATCTATCTATGGACTACTCAGCACATGTTCCCAAGGCACAGTGTCATCGAAGCTCAAGAAGCTTTGGAGGTCATTGGAACGCCGTCCATTGGGAGGCAAAAAGCTCAACCAATCCTGGCGCCGTTGGGTTCGAAATGCTGGGAGTCCCAAATGTGTGGCCCTACTGAACTCGTCCATCTATTCTTTGTCAAGTGACCACCAACCACAGTTGGGTTCCAAATAGAGCAAGAGGCAAGAGGACATAACCAGTCCAAGATGTGCAGTGACGAACAAACAGTCACGCCACTGCAACATATATCAAGAAAACGCGTCTAAGTAGATCGGAGTGATTGGACCACTTAAGTAAGTTAATCAAAAGTGCTGCCGTTTGTTGTCTACAAGTTACGGCGTTATGCTTTCTGCAAGCAGGCATGCAGTGGTCATGAAAAGAAATAGACGTTTGGAAAACGATATCTGCTGAGATCCGCTGAGAATCATGAGCCTTTGCAAGAGATAGTCCCCCGCAAATTGACATGGAACCCCTAAAACCACGGTCAATTCTCAGGTTGCATGGGATCGTTTGCAGGGGAGGCTGACCGGTCAGACTTCCCATCCCGGTTCCCGGGTCGTTTTCCGAAATGATGGAGGGATAAGGAGGGGCACGAATCTATATAAGTCTAGGATCACGTGTGTGTATATATATATATAGTCATATATATATAACGATGTATGTGTCTTTGTGATGGCTTGAGGGTGAATTTCCTCGGCGCCAAGCCCATCTCCAGCCTTGGTTTTGATGCCAGGCAAGAGCTGCACATCATCTAGCACTCTCATGACCGACAACTCGTCTGTTCGTCGCCCAGCTGGGGCGAAGACTCTGCAATCAATGGAGCCCTGTGTTTTATGGTGCATTCATGAGTGACGCTTTGGCGGGTGCTGCTAGGGGCTTTGGATGTTGAATAAGGCCCCGCCAATTGGCAAAAAAAGCATTTGAGGATCTTGGGGCCTGACATTGAACATGTCCTGCGAATGAGCAATGATATGTATTGATTGGCCTACAGAAACAGGTTTTCAAGTCTTTGAGCCGACATGGCCAGAGCCACATTCAACTTGCCGAGTCACCAAGTGCAAGTTAAAACACCCCAACCAACTGAGGTCTTCTCAGGGCAGTGAGTTTCGATCCAGTTTCAACCATTTAGATCGGTATATTTTAGGGCCTTTGCAATCGGACCCATGTGACCAAGGACGGGCCTTTGCAATGGGCCCGTCCTTGGACAGGGACTGCCACCCAGCAGAAGAATGCCGCCCAGGCACCCACATATCCACTGCGGGACTCACATCGCCCAGCAATGCTTCTGGACCTCAAACGAACGAACGACAGGTGCCGCGGAGGGGGTGAGTCTGTGAAGTTGTTAATTACAGTATATACTGGGTGCAATTCAGTTGGGAGTTATGGCGTCAAGTGACATAAGGAACAGAGTAGGTGAGTCCTATGTCATCCCATGTCATCCGAAGGTAGTATAGATGTATATTTTAATGTAGACTCTTGAGTCATATAGAACCCCCCCTTTGCGTTCGTTTGCGTTCGCCTCACCGGTCCGCCCCGGTCCGCACCCACCGGACCGTCTGTGTTTGTGCCCCCTTTGGGATTGTAAAACCTCCCATGAATCAAGAGTCTACACACGACTGATCTGTCTTTTCGAGAGCTGATTTCAAACACATTCAAGCACATGCGGCATGCGGTCAAGTCGAGAAGAATGTCCAGCATCCCATCTCCATCTGAAAATCACCACCATAGAAAAACACACAGCACCATTCCCCCCAGCTGACCTCCTCGAAACTCTGCCCGCCCTGGTGCACCCGTTGCTGTAGCCGGCATAAGGGGGTTGATGTATCCATGTGGTCTCACTGAAATTGACAAAGAAACTGAAAAACCAGGGTGTCCGAGTCAGAAAACGTGAGAAGGTGACAGGACCCCTGTACAAAGAAAACACATCAGGGTTGACATTGAAGAATAATCGAAGACGCTCGCAGAGTCAAAGAGAGAACAAATTACCGGATGCATATGAACACAAACCTAACTGGGTGCGGGTTGCATGGGAGGAATGGCAATCACATCAAGATGCAATGTTGTGGCTGGCTATTGCTTTCGAAACTTAAACAGTGACTGAGTATGAAGGTATAAAAAATGATTAACCGTATATTCCGTGATATTCCTGTTTTGGTATATATTCTGTTAATAAAGATCCTGTGATGCCTGTGACCTTCAAGGAATTCTGCACAAACATGATGTAAGGCAGTGAGCCACCCTCCGCTTTCCACGGCTGTCGGTTCGGCGAGAGGCTCAAGAAGGGCCCGGTGCCGCACCAACTCTTTGCCACCAAGCGGTCAGGTCTAAAGCACATAGTCCTCATCTGGCATGGTGGAAGATGGAGTTGGAGTGCCCAAAACATGGCCGGGGTTTGGATTATGCCTGGGGTATCTATTTCTTGAGGTGGTTGGCCATGAGTTAAGCTTGTTTGGAAAAAGGAGTGGACACAGTTGTCCTTGATCACATGGCCGATGGAAGATCATGACCACAAGTTGCCACAAGGCCCACTAATACCATCTAATACCGACCTAGGCCTACCCACCTAGCATCTGCAAAGTCTTACCAGGCATGCTGTTCCCGATGTCAGGCAAGCCGCCCGACCACGTCCACCAACTTCAACTCACTCTTGGGGCCTCAGCTACCGAGCATGCTGTGGCAAACAAGGTCATACTTTATCATACTGCTGCATAGCTGCCATGGGCAAAGCGAAAGTTGTCGAACTTCAAATCCTTGGCAGATCGCTCCAGCAAGGCTTTGGGAGTGAGACATGAGACACGCGCGGCAAGCGTAGCCAGCTCTAGCAACTCGTCAAAGACCAGAATACATTTGCTCGGGCCAAACAATAATTTGTTGACGTTGGATGAAATCGGAATCACGCGACCCCCAAATAAGGGTGTCCAAGGAGTCTCACCCTTCTTGGACCTTGAGATGCCTGCTGGACTGTCAAGAATCAAGAAGTTATCTGCACAAAAGCCACTGTGCTCAATCCCTCGAACACCTAAATGCCGAGTCCTGTTCGTTTCTGTTTTTTCCAGTGCTAATAGAGTTCAAAAGAGATTGCATGAGATTGCCTCCCTACTGACCCGCTTCCCCAAAGCAGGCACATGAGTGCATCTTTCAAATTTGGTTGACCCTTGCGTGCCGCTTCAGGTTTTCCATACAACTTGCACTAACGGTGAACACTTGTTTTATGGTATGGCTTTGTTCGTTTCACTGCAAAATACACTAGCGCATACTTTTGTACCTAAGCTGACTAGAGCTGCCGTTGGCACTGCTAGATGAGCTGCACTCTGTACTGCTGCTTTGCTGCATTTGCTCGAGCTTTTTGCTCTGCCGACTCGTGTGGGCTTTGGCGTCTGTCAAGCGCCGCTCATACTTTGCGTAAGAGCGTTGCGTGCATTTTGTTCTCACACTAAGTGGTCTGTCATTTGGGTCGTGCACTACCGGGCACACATTTCAGCAATTTCTGCTAGCGCGGAGCTAGCGCGAGCCTAGCGCGAGAAGTCTCGAAATGTTACCTGGTTTAGCCCTGGCAAAAACAAGGTGTGAAAATGAACAAAGCAAGCTCACTAGGAATAGTGCAACATGCAAGCCATTTGAAGTTGTGTCCATGCTCCTGCTAGCCCTATGAAACTGCACATCACAGATTAAACATGTGGTCCAAGCAAATGGCTTCTAGCAATCAAAAGCAGATTCAAAGAAGCACTGGCGCGCCACAAGCGCCACGCTAGCGCCTAGCTTGTGTTTTAGAGTATTCTCTTGCGTGCCGCTTCATAATTTGCTTTTAAAAACTATCATCATCACAAAACGCGTGTTGCCATTTTGTATAACTCCTTAGCACCGACTTTTGGCATCAAAACAAATGTCTCCATGGGTTTTAGCAGGCTATATAACAGCTTCCAATACAGGATTGTATCGCCTGCAACTGACGGAACTCAATTTTTTGGGGAAGGATCTGCCATCTGCCCTCCCCAGTGCCAAAATCACCCCAACAGGAGTGCCTGGAATGCAGGAAAGCATTCGAACACCCATGTTCCTTCAATGCCTTCATAATACTTCATATTGGCCAAACCTAAATCCTTCTAACCTGGTGGTGCGCATAAAGAATAGACGACTGCGCATAGACTGCCTCTCATCTCAGTCTGAGTGTCTCTGTGTACAAAGCCATGACGATGGACTTCACGGGCTGCTTGCAGAATTTCGTAAAGGATCCTGTGACAACAAGCGCGCGTTCAAGCTGGCTTCGAGTGAAAAAGCAAGCACACGCATGACACACGCCCCGCTTGCAGCCGTGAAAAAGCACACATTACTGCAGGACATTGCAGGACTCCCTGTTCTTTCTTCCAGTGCACTTGACTTCACTTCACTACTTGCAGCGGACAAATAATGATAAATCCATCAATCCAAGGTGACACTGGTCCTTGCCTGAACGCACATGAGCTCTTAGTTCACTCTAAGTGCAATTCATGTCTCAACACGTCAGGGGTTCACTCTAGGTGCGTTCCCACTGCGCCTCATGGCTGAAAGCTCGCTTCTTCCTTGGCCCTGACCAGCGAGCTCAAAGGTGCTGGGGGCCACAATGCTGTCCCACAGTTATCTTGTTGGCGGATGGGATGGATAGGCTTCAAGCCAAATAAGAATCATCCTCTAGCATCATGGAAGGGGAACATATCTTGCATATCTTGTTTATGAAGAGCTTCTTACGTCACTTTAACACTTTGTGAATCAGCAAAGCAGGACGTTGGTGAGCTCGCTCCGGTGGCTTGAGGCTCAAACCGCTTGAGTGGTCGACTCCACGTGGTCCAAATGCTGATGGCAAACACAGCCCATCTACCAAAGCTTGAGGAGATCAACTTATATAATATGAACTATGACACATATATAAATGGTTGTATCATAGTACATATGTATATATATATAATGCGCATGAGACCTCAGGTGTATACACAAAGGTATACACATGGAATAAAATGTAATATACATGTATGATTGAATTATGACCTTTGGAGATGGCAGAATAAGAATGGAAATGAATGGAAATCGATGCCTGAAGGGCCTTCCATCCCCAATTTACCATCCAGTGAATAATTATATAAGTGCATGTAGGCTACTGGCTCTGCCATACAGCTGATTGAGGCGTAAAAAGCGATTTAATCGCATTGACATGTAAAAGATACGTATTATAACTATTCTGAGGTCGGATCCGTGTTTTTTTAAATCTCAGCGGTTTGGGACGATTTGTGCATCCACTGAGTCTCCCAGTCTCTCTTCTCCGGCGAAAAAGCTGCCTCCTCGGAGAGCATCCAGTCCGAGAGGTCGGGCCCATCCAAATGCTCCATGACCACGTAGAGGAACGTTGGACTCACCAAGACCTCCGGGACAAAACAGGGTGTGAGCAGGTATTGAGAGCAGGGGAGAAGACCGATTTTGGTGCTTCCGGGCTTCAAAACCAACTCAAAAGAATCGATTCATAGCGATGAGATGTATATAAGAATATGTTAAGGTATAGATGCACCAAGAAAACAATTCATAGCGATTTTTAGAAAAATATACGTGCGGTTTCCCGGACCTGAGTCTGAAAATGTTTGAAACGTGTCATCCTATTCAGGATGGTTGTTGGTTTGGAAGCGTTCGGTTTCTAGAATCCGAACATGAGGATTGTTCAATGTCACATCTTCTGGACTATGGGATGGTTTTGATTGGTTTTGGTATGGCTTGGTGGTTTGGGAGTGCGTGTAGTGTGCCGTCTCCAAGGCCGAGCTCGGCGAGTATCTGCTTCCGAACGACCCACGCCATGGCATGGCGGTAGCAAGAAGGGCAAAGCATGGCATGGCAAGTCCCATGTTCCCAACTTCTTTGGGGTCATTACTGTATGGGTCATTATGGGTCATTCCCCCCAAGCCAGGCATTTCAGGTTTCACACACGAGTCCGACTGGCCCGGCCTGATACACGTGGGTCACGTTGGGCTTGTTCATGAACAGCCAATTTGACACGATCCGCCTGGCAAAACAAAAGCACCAGCATCACGCCACTGCACATTGTTCCAAACAAGTGCTCAACTGCATGACCTCACATACAGAGATAGAGAGAGGGAGAGAGCACGCTCCTCGCAAATAGCACAAATAGCTAGAATCAAATAGAATCAGCTAGACTCGAGACTAGTCAGACTCTAGTCATAAATCTTAAACATCTCCAAGACCCCTCGGGAAGAATGGCTAACCGTGAACATCCGTGAACTAATTCTGCTGATGAACGGCCCCAACCCTCAACGAACCAACGACCGCGCGTCCCCCCATCCGTCAACAACCGCCCCAGGCACCGATCTAAGCAATCCAAATCCCCGAAGCTCCGGGGCCCGCTCTCCTGGCGAAGAGGCACGCTTTCGGTGGAAGGGGCAAAGCCAAGCAAGGCCCTTCTGGCACAGCAAGGACAAAAATGGGCCAAGCAAGTCCACTTAGCAAGAACAGATTCATATTGGCTTTTGCAAGCACGGCATTCAAGCCACATATGACAGCTCGACTCTTTCCTTCAGCCTTTGACACATGCGATATGAAAACAACAGGTGAAGAAACAATATAAAACAATATATAATATACTATATATACAAAGTCAGCCTTCAAAAGAAGGGACTTGAAGGGACCTTCTCCTAATCAACTCATCTTCCTTGACCTTCTATGTCTACTCTGACTTTGGAGAGGGCGCGCAAAAGCTGGAGGCTTCCTGGGTAATTGAGCGACGGGGCACCAACCATACATTCGTGCCATGGTCTAGACTCTAGACCCGAACACTTGGTTGTAGTGGGTTACTGGCGATGGTGATGCAGTTCTAATTGGGACTTTTCTACACCCCTCGGGCTCTTGGTGCAGCTTGACGCTTCTCAGAAGAGCTTTACAGGGCTGCGAAGCGGGAAGGTGGGCGTTTCTTAGGCTCTGTGATTGATTGACCCCCCAAAGAAAAATCTCAATACGTGGCATGACTCAACATTCCCCATGTCGTCATCGCCCGTAACACTATAACATAGCAACTGTACTGCAAAGTCTCCTTAGGGCGAACTCACCTAGCGCGCTTCCCATTTTGTTGCTCCATGCGGTCACTGTCTTGAAAGGCCATGTGGCTGGGATCCACCCATGATCTGCCGTGCGACGAGTCTTTATCAGCCTCCTGGGATGCCTCCTTCAGCAAACAGCCATTTGTCACCTTCAACACTCCAAGTATTGATATATATATACATATATATATATATGTGTGTGTGTATGTATGTATGTGTGTATGTATGTATGTATGTATGTATGTATGTATGTATGTATGTATGTATGTATGTATGTATGTATGTATGTATG